CTATCTATTATCTATCTATCTATCTATCTATGTATCTATCATCTATCTATCATCTATCTATCCATCATCTATCTATCATATATCTATCTATCTATCTATCTATCTATCTATCTATCTATCTATCTATCATCTATCCATCCATCCATCCATCCATCATCTATCTACCTATCATCTATCAATCATCTATCTATCTATCTATCTATCTACCTATCTATCATCTATCAATCATCTATCAATCATCTATCATCTATCTATCGCCTATCTATCTGATGATATGTGCACTTTTCAGTAGGGTTTTGAGATAATACATTTCCCTGTGGCCTTTCATACCACTTAAGCATTATTTATCTCTTTTCTCCTTCCCCCGTATAACTCTCCCTTCCTCTCCCCTTCCCAGTTAGAATAACCCTTTCCCCACTTCTCCATCGATAACCCTGTCTCCTCCGTTCCCCTTTCCTTTTTATCCACATGGTTCCTTTCCATTTTCTGGGTCCTGCCATTAAATCAGGATAAAATACTCACATCTAAGGATTTGGAGCTGGGATTCTCAAATGAAAGAGAATATCTATCACTTGTTTTTCTGACTCTGTGTTACTTCACTTAGTATAACAACTTCTGGTTCCATCCATTTACCTACAAATTTCATGACTTTGATTGTCTTTACCGAACTCAATTGTGTAAATGGACCACATTTTTTATTTTTCATTCATCAGCTAAGGGACATAAATGTTGTTTCCATTTCTTAGCTATTGTGAAAAGTGCAGCAACAAACATGGCTGTGCAAGTATCTCTATAGTAAGATGAGTCCTTTGGGTATGTGCCAGGGAGTGGTGTAACAGAATCATATGGTAGAGTTTGTTTATTAAATTTGTATTTATTTGCTTCCTTCCTCCCTCCCCTCTCCCTTCCATCCATCCATCTATCCATCTTTTAGTTCAAACTACTCATCAGGAAGCATGCTTCCTGAACAGTTAGAAACATTTCCATAGAGGTGTATGTGTTGGAGGTGTGTGTGAAGGTGCCAACCTGTGGGCCTTATCGATGTAGTTGCCTTCCATTCAAAGAAGAAAGTATATGAGATAAGTACCTCAGAAAGGACTGTGCATATCTTCCTTCAATAACCAGTGATTATTAAACTTTACTATGTAAGAAATGTGCCTCCCAGAATCTATGAATGTATGTTTCTTCTCAAATATTACTTTTGTAGAAGACTTTATTCTTCTTCCCAAATAGTTTCATGTTTCTTTCATCCTAAAAAGTTTTGTGGGACTGGAGAGATGACTCAGCATTAGGAGTGCATACTGCTCTTGCAGAAGATCAAATTCAGTTCCCAGTACCCAGGACCCTTGACTCACAACTGCCTGTAAGTTCACCTCCAGGAGCATCTGATGCCTCTGGTCTTTAAGGGCCCTTGCTCTCTCATGCACACACACAAACACACACACACACTTAAAAATATTGAAAAAAAATTTAAAACACAGAAATGTTTTATTTTGATACTGTGGTACCCTCACTATACCTCTTTTACCTTCTGTTTCTCACTATCC